GTGAAAACAAGCTGCTGTTTGATTGCTAGTTGCTAGTTATTGCAGAGAAGAGGACAGGGGGGGATGGGGGGGAGGCGAAGGGTCCACAATGGCTCAATTACGACCTCCATGGGGGGGGGGAGGGGAGGGAGAAGGGGAGAAGGAGACCGTAATTAAAGAGAACGCGCCCTGGGGGATAGAGGAGGGTAAAAAGGGAATATCTTTTCTCTACTTAGATAATTAGCTTCCAAACGGTAGTGGCAACGGGCGGGGTACGAGACGGCAGGGATCTTAATGATAAGTTCGGGGGGTGTGTTTATCACGGAGGGATGGGGGGTGGGGGGGGGGTAGGGAAGCGTCATCCTGGGTCGGTCTTTAAGTTGTTTCCTGTTGGTGTGTTCTCTCTCTTTCTCTCCTTTTCTCCTCTCTCTTGTTCTATTTTGCTCTCTCTTTCTTTTCTCCTCTCTCTCTCTCTCTTTTCTCCTCTTTCTCTCTCCTTTTCTCCTCTCTCTTGTTCTCTTGCTCTCTCCCTCTCTCTCTCCCCTTTTCTCCTCTTCCTCGTTTTCTTTTGCACTCTGTCTCTCTCTCTTTCTTTTTTCCTTTCTCTCGTTCTCTTTTGCTCTCTCTCTCTCTCTTTTCTCCTCTCTCTTTTTCTCATCTCTCTCGTTCTCCTTTGCACTCTCTCTCCTTTTCTTCTCTCCCTCGTTCTCTTTTGCTCTCTCTCTCTCTCTCTCTCTCTTTCTCTCTCTCTCTCTCTCTCTCTCTCTCTCTCTCTCTCTCTCTCTCTCTCTCTCTCTCTCTCTCTCTCTCTCTCTTATTCTTCATTCCTGCTAAACCTTCCTCTTCTGTTCTTGTGTGTTAATTCCTCTGGCAATATAAACAAACCTGCTTTTGTCTGAGCAGTTAATCTGGATGGTAAATACTGACCAAATCTGTCTGTCTATCTATTTACTTACCTATTCATCTTTTTATATATCTACTTATCCGTCTATCTATCTGTTATCTACCTATCCGTCTATCTGTCTGTTATCTACCAATCTATATCAGTCTATCTATCTGTCTATCTATATGATAGGCTATAAGTGTCTTTAATATATCTTTAAAACCATGTTTCTATCTATCCATCTGTTTGCATTTCTATATATCTAACAATTTATTCGTCTGTCTGTCTACTCATCTATCTATGTGTCATCCTTTCTATACATTTTTTTTTATCTGTCTGTCTGTCTAACTATTCATCCATTTATCTATCTATCTAACCTCTGTGTTACTAATATTTTATAGAAAACAAGACATCGACGTATTGTAATTTTCCGCATATTCAAAATGGAAATTATAAAACAACATACGAGAAATTACGATAAATATTTTCCACAATAGATTAAATTAAAAACTTATTATCCCAAAATAGCTTCTAAATAATCTTAGACTGATGAGAACCTTACTTCTGTACCTCTTTATCTTTAGTGTTTTATATATTCTGTCAATTTAATAATCTAATGCACACTTGGGCTTAAAAAAAAAAAAAAAATGGTCATTATTCTTACGAAGAAAAAGGAAAAAGACATCCCACAAAATTCTGTCTTTTGGTCAGGAAATGATGTGCTCAATTATAAGATGAAGAGTAATATGTAACTATGCTTCTTAAATGGAGTTTTTATTGGCTGTGCAAATAAAATCACTTAATGAGGCCATTATGTCATTTTTTTCTCAATTTTTTTCCTTTTTTTTAAGGGGGGTGGGGGCACACGGTTAGCTTAATTAATGCATTCCTACAAATCTTATGGTTAGAGACACGATTACGACATGCCTAAATCCCTGTCTTTATAGATATGTCAAAATGACGGCGCTGTTTTTAAGAAAAAAAAAAAAAAAGCTCAACGTTAAGTACCGGGTTGATTGAACCTTGCACATATATATATTTTTTTATTTATATATATTCATTTTTTTCCCTCCTTCCTTCTTCTTCTTTAGAGTGTGTCTGTGCAACAAGTTTTACGATTCTGTCGACTTTATCACCGTTGTCGCTTAATGTAAAAATCTCGTTTTTAGAAACTCTTCAATCCAAGATATTTTATAATGAGTCTTATCAAAAGCCATTTCATCGGACATTACATTGGACAACACCATTATTAGACGATGATTAAACAGGGGATATTATAGTTATAATTGAAGCATAGGTATTTGCAATTTGGAAATATGTCTCTATGGCCTTAAATTCCGGCTGGGAATTCGCAGAAAAAATGAAGATGAGGAAATGGTTTTGACCGTATTTTAAAAAGAGGGAAAAAAGAGAGAAGGGGGAGAGAGAGGCAGAGAAGGAAGAAGGGGAGAGGAAGGGAGGGGAGGGAGGGAAAGAGAGAGAGAGGAAAAAAATAATTAAGAGAGGATAAGAGAGAGAGAAGGAGAGGGAGGGAGGGAGAGAGAGAATGAGAGAGAGATACAGAGAGAGAGGGGGAGAGGGAGGGAGGGAGAGAGAGATATATATATAGAGAGAGATAGAGATAGAGAGAGAGAGATTAAGAGAGGATAAGAGAGAGAGAGAAGGAGAGGATGGGAGGGAGGGAGGGAGAGAGAGAGAGAGAGAGAGAGGAGAGAGAGAGAGAGAGAGAGAGAGAGAGAGAGAGAGAGAGAGAGAGAGAGAGAGAGAGAGAGGGGGGGGGGGGAGGGGGAGGAAGATAGAGAGATGGATAGAGAGATAGAAAGAGAGAGCGAGATAAATAGATAAAGAGGAAGACAGATAGATAGAAAGGGATATATATATATAGAGAGAGAGGGACGGAGGGACGGAGAGAGGGAGATAGATAGATAGAGAGAGAGATAGAAAGAGAGAACGACGTAGATAGAGAGGAAGATAGGTAGATAGAAAGGGAGATAGACAGATAGATAGGTAGAGAGATAACTAGAGAGAGAGAGAAAAAAAGAGGAAAAAGAGGAAAAAAAGAAAAAAGAAATGAGTAAGAGGAGAGAAGAAACAAAAAAAAACAGAGAGACTAAAGAGAGAGAGAGAGAGAGAGAGAGAGAGAGAGAGAGAGAGAGAGAGAGAGAGAGAGAGAGAGAGAGAGAGAGAGAGAGAGAGAGAGAGAGAGAGAGAAAACACTCAAAATAAGACCTGACTGTAAGCACTCTGAGATGAACATTACAGTGTGCTTACAAGAGATAAATCCTTATCGACTTTGGAGGGACCTTTAAATAACACTAAAACTTTCAAGGCAATGGAGTCATTAATCCAACGATGGGGCAAAGTGGGTGACCAGGACCAATTTCTGCTTATCGGAGGCAAACCATTAGCAAGGGATGAGCCAACAACCTGCTTAACGGAAATTAACGGTTCTGCTAATCTTTCACGTTCATGGGTCACTGGTGTTTTCGTGTGTTTGTTTGTCTGTTCGTTTTTTTTTTGTCTGTTTTTTTGTGTGTGTGTGTTTGTGTTTTCTTTTCTTTTTCTTTCTTTCTCTTCTTTCGCTCTTCTTTCCTCGCTTATTCTTTTTCTCCTGTTATTGTCTTCTTTTTTTTTCTCTTTTTCCTTTTCATCTTTTGCTAGCCAACGCTTTCTCTCTCTCTCTCTCTCTCTCTCTCTCTCTCTCTCTCTCTCTCTCTCTCTCTCTCTCTCTCTCTCTCTCCCTCTATCTGTCTATCTATTTATAGTCTTCAAATTCAGGCTTATATATCCACGCTGTACCCTTGATTGTTCATAAGAACATTGTTCAGTTATTGAAGACTGATGTTCATTGCTTTTTTTCTGAACTGAGGCAGATATGATACAAATAATATAACTTTTTTATTTGGTATGTCAAAAAAGGATATATATGTATATATTGTTACAACTTACAGCTGGTTCTTGCCATTTTTGACTATCCAATTAACCTTTAATTTCTAATTTAAGGAATGAAGACGTTGAGGAATAAACAATAGACATAGTATAAAACTTTTTCTTAGGTTGTGTATAAAAAAAAAGTGTATATATATATATATATATATATATATATATATATATATATATATATATATATAATATGAATCGTACGTCAAGAATGCCTCATCAAAGAATTAGAAAATAGAATAAAGAAAAAGAAAGAAAGAAAGAAAGAGAGAAAGAGAGAAAGAAAAAAATGTACCTATTTAAAAGCTTCTGTCCGACATGACTACAACAGACAATTTTCTTGATTTCTGATGACTGTGCAGTTTATTATTTTTTCTCGTCTATAATTTCCCTCTTGTTATTATATCTTTCTCCTTTCCTGCGTTTTCTTCTTTTGCCTCTCTTTCTCTCCTTTTTTCTATCTCTCGTTGTTTCTTTATTTTTTATAATCTTTCTGTATTTCTCTTTCTGTCTTTACTCTGCTTCTATTTCGTCTTTCTTTCTCTCTCTATTCATTCCCCTTTCCCTATCATTCTATCGCTTGTCTGTGTCTCTCTCTCTCCCTCATTCTCTCTCTCTCTCTCTCTCTCTCTCTCTCTCTCTCTCTCTCTCTCTCTCTCTCTCTCTCCCTCATCTCTCTCTCTCTCTCTCTCTCTCTCTCTCTCTCTCTCTCTCTCTCTCTCCCTCCCTCTCTCTCCCTCTTACACACACACACACACACACACACACACACACACACACACACACACACACACACACACACACACACACACACACACACACTTCCTCTTTCTCTCCCTCCCTCTCTCACTGGTTCTCCCTCATTCAGCCTCTTTCCTCCTCCTCCCTCACTCCCACCCCCCCCTCCCCCTCTTCCACAGTCATTTCCTTCCAACCACATGATTATCTAACTAACGTCCCTTCAACAATGACTAATCTCTCTCGTTTACCGTCTCTCTCTTTATCACTCTCCCTCTGTTTAATCTCTCTTCTTATCATCTCTCTCTTTTTTATCTTCCTCTTTATCGTCTCTAAATCTTCCTCTCACTGTGATCTCTTTTACACTTTCGCTATCTCCCTGGATCTTCCGTCTCCTTCTTCGGTCGGTTATCAGAGTCATCTTAGTTATCAACGGTATCTTCTCTCTCTCGCATGCAGTTCAGGACCAGTGGTGGTGAGTGTGTGGTAGCTTGGTTTTGATGTGGTGGTGTTTCTGTGGCGTTGTGGCAGCGTGGTGTTGTGGTAGCTTGGTGTTGGTGTGGTGGTGTTTCTGTGGGGTTGTGGCAACGTGGTGTTGTGGCAGCTTGGTGTTGGTGTGGTGGTGTTTCTGTGGCGTTGTGGCAGCGTGGTGTGGTGGTGTTACTGTGGCGTTGTGGCAGCGTGGTGTTGTGGTAGCTTGGTGGTGGTGTGGTGGTGTTTCTGTGGCGTTGTGGCAGCGTGGTGTGGTGGTGTTTCTGTGGCGTTGTGGCAGCGTGGTGTTGTGGTAGCTTGGTGTTGGTGGTGTTTCTGTGGCGTTGTGGCAGCGTGGTGTTGTGGTAGGTTGGTGTTGGTGTGGTGGTGTTTCTGTGGTGTTGTGGTACCACGGTGGGAATATAGTGGTGTTCGGTAGAGTGGTGTTGGTGTGGTGTTGTATTAGCATGATGGTGATGTGCTGATGATGTGGTGACAGTAATGTTGTGTTGATGTTGGTATATTGGTGTTGTGGTGGTATGGGGCTACCTTAATGCTGTGGTGTTGGTGATGCTGTTGTAGTAGGCTTCTGATGGTGTTATAATTTATTGTAGTGGTATTTTGTTGGTGTGGTGTTGCTGTACTGGTGTTACATCGGTGTTGTTATTGTGGTGTTTATAGGAAAATCTTGGTGCCCCGTTAGTGGCATTGTTTATACAACGAGAAGCAAATAACACAACTAGAAAAAAAATACGTAAAGATTGTTATAACACATCCAGAAAAAGACACCTGAAGAGTGTTATAACACAGCTAGAAAACATATGTGAAGCTTGTTATAACAGCAAGAAAAATATGTGAGGATTGTTATAACACAATTATAACGAAAAAGACATGAGAACATTGCTATAACACACAGCTAGAAAAAATTGAAGATTGTTTAGCAGTAAACGAGAGAGGCGTGGAGTCTTCGAAGTGAGATGAACAGAACTATGAGAACGGCAAAAAAAAAGTTGATTATCGAAGGAGGAAAAACATCTAGGAACTATGAATTAGTGTAATAGCAGAGAAGACCATTCCTCCACTAGAAAATGGCATACAGTGAAATCGGGGAAGTACTGTTAGATTGTTAGCCTCGAGGTAAGTTACGAGTCATCCTGGAGTGTCGAAAAGTATCTACTATCGGGACTGAAGAATCAAAGCTTTGGTGATGCTGTTTGTGGTATTAACTACAACGGCTGTAATAAGTGTATACTTTTGAGATGTTTGCTGATGTCACTTTATTACCATGTCGAGCAAGGTTGCTTGTAGTTTTGCACGAAACTTTTTTTTGTGTGTTGCAGGTAAGTGGATATACTATTGCTAGAGGCAGAGCAAGTGGGTGAGAGAGAGAGAGAGAGAGAGAGAGAGAGAGAGAGAGAGAGAGAGAGAGAGAGAGAGAGAGAGAGAGAGAGAGAGAGAAAGAAAAAGAAAGAAAGAAAAAGAGATAGAGAAAGAGAGAATAAGAATGAGAGAATGAGAGAGAGAGAACGAGAAGAGCTAGCAGCACTAGAACAAGTACTGGTAGCAGGGACTAAGCACGTAGAGCTCGCCACAGGTAGGCGCTAGAGCTTGTAGGAGAGCACGTAAACCAACAAGAGGCAGAAGCTACTTAAGAGGCAATGACACTGCCACCGAGACGAAGAAGGAGTGACACTTTCGGGCTTTTAAGGAAACTCGTAGGCCAGATAAAAGGCAGACTAACAATTAGACAAATATCCTATGCAGAATGGATTACCGAGCGGTCGATACGCGCGGCGAGAGATAAGGAAAGCACGGAAACTAATTAAACTAATGAAGCGGACGATAAGGCAGGCAGACAAGCTTAGCAGATCCAACGAAACAGAGGGAGGGAGCTAGTAGGAAGACAAGCAGGTAGGCATTGGGGGGGGGGGGGGGCTAAAAGCAGGAGGAGAGGGTCGTGCGAAGGCTGCCGAGGATATTAGCAGGCAGGGGAGGCAGGTTTCGCTCGGAGCAGGAACTTATAAGGAGGGAAGCGCCAAGTCAGCTTCATTCATTCGCCGAGCAGGAGACTTCTCGACGTCTCCACCTTGCCTCATCTTTATTCACTCCTTATATATATTTTACTTGGCTTTTTTTTGGGGTCTCTTCCCTCTCTGTCTGTCTGTTTGTCTGTCTCTCTTTCGCATTCTTTCTTTCTTTCTCTCTCTCTCTCTCTCTCTCTCTCTCTCTCTCTCTCTCTCTCTCTCTCTCTCTCTCTCTCTCTCTCTCTCTCTCTCTCTTCTCTCTCTCTCTCATTCTCTTTCACTCTCTCTGTCTATGTCCTGTCTGTCTGTCTGTCTGTCTGTCTGTCTGTCTGTCTCTCTCTCTCTCTCTCTCTCTCTCTCTCTCTCTCTCTCTCTCTCTCTCTCTCTCTCTCTCTCTCTCTCTCTCTCTCATTTTTTATCTATCCTCTTATAATGGGTTTTCTTCCTTGGACGTGACCAAACATTCTAAAATTCAGACTTTTTTTTATTCATTTGCATATATCTCTCGTTAACTACCATTTTTTGTCTCATTTTTTTCACAGCTTTTCTATTTTTTTTCCAATATTCTCTTTCTTTCAACTTCTCTCATAATGGCAAAGCGTGGTCATGCCTCGCTTTATTCTTATTGCAAAGTACGATCTTCAACACCCCTGCAACTTGCTGATATTGATCGTCTGGGAGCTCTCTTGCCATGTTGCTTCTGAGAGCCCCAAGTCAGTACCTTGTTGCAATGACTAAGTGAATTTCCTCATTGCTATTATATCTCAAAAGTTATACTACTTGAGTTTCAAAAAGTATGTTTAAATCTTTATCTTTTTTTTTTCTTTTTCTTTCTCTTATGTTCTATTTTTAATCCTTTTGTATCATGTTTTTTTTTTCTTTCTTTCGTATTTTTGTTTTTCATTATCACTGCATCATATTTATTCGTGGTTTCCAAAGAGGAAAATATTTTTTTCTCGCTCTATTTATTAAGTTATCATTATTGTCATGTTAATCATCATTTTACTACATCATTTTTTTTTTATTGATATCTTGATCACTTTGTTTGACTCATTTCTATAGTTCCTTTTTATTCATAAGATTTTTTTTCGTATTTTTTTGTATGTGCTTGTTATATTTTTATCTCCTTTTCATTCTTTCTGTTTTCTCTTTTTCTGTTTTTTTGGCTGTCTCTCTCGTTTCTCTCACTCTCTCGTTCTCTCTCTCTCTTGCTCTCTCTCTCTCTCTCTCTCTCTCTCTCTCTCTCTCTCTCTCTCTCTCTCTCTCTCTCTCTCTCTCTCTCTCTCTCTCTCTCTCTCTCTCTCTCTCTCTCTCTCTCTCTCTCTCTCTCTCAATCTCTCTCTCTCTCTGTCTGTCTGCCTCTGTATGTCTCTATCTCCCTTGCTCTCTCTCTCTCTCTCTCTCTCTCTCTTTCCTTCTCCCTCTCTCTCTCTCCCTTACTCCTCCCTTCTTCCCTCTCTGCCTCCCTTTCACTCCCTCCTCACTCCCCTCTCTCCCTCCCTCCCCCCATCCCTCCTTCTCCCTCCCTCTCCCTCCTTCCCCCCATCCCTCCCTCCTGCACCCTCTCTCCCCCAAACGCAAATCCGAATATATACCATCGCCCAGCACCCCCCCCCCCCCCACATAAGTCAACCCACTTTTCAGAATAACCCGATGATCCTCGCCGTAAAGTAATGTCATAAAGTTTAAAAGTTTAACCTGTCCGTGGAAGATGAAAGTTGTTGGTCTTGTGAAAGTTGCACTGGGGTAATGGACGACGAAGGGGAGAGGGGGGTGGGGGGAAAGGGAGAGGGGGGTGGAGGGAGGGGAAGGGGGATTTTTAAGGACATGGTTTCCACAGCCGTAAAAGTGTTAACAACATAAAGTCTCCGGAACAAATCAGTTATTTGTTATGGGCGTGTGTGTGTGGGGGGTGGGAGGAGGTGGGGTGGGGAGAGGAGGGGGGGAAGGATAAGGGGGTAGGGAGGGGGGATAGTTCAACCCTTGGGCGTGTGCTTGGTTTTCTTGGGCGAGTTTTTTGTGTGTGTCTTTGTTTTTGTTTGTTTGTGTTGGGTTATGTGTATGTCTGTTTGTGTGTGTGCGTGTAAGTGTGTGTGTGTGTGTGTGTGTGTGTGTGTGTGTATGTGTGTATGTGTATGTGTATGTGTATGTGTGTATGTGTGTGTGTGTGTGTGTGTGTTTGAGTGTGTTTGTGTAAGTGTTTGTATGTGTATGTTTGTGTTTGTGTGTATATGAGTATAGTGTATTTATGTATGTATGTGTGTGTGTGTGTGTATATGTGTATGTGTATGTGTGTATGTGTGTGTGTGTGTATATGTGTATGTGTATGTGTGTATGTGTGTGTGTGTGTATATGTGTGTGTGCATGTGTGTATATGTGTGTGTGTGTGTTTGTGTGTACATGTGTATAGTGTATTTATGTATGTTTGTGTGTGTGTGTACATGTGTATAGTGTATTTATGTATGTTTGTGTGTGTGTGTACATGTGTATAGTGTATTTATGTATGTTTGTGTGTGTGTGTACATGTGTATAGTGTATTTATGTATGTTTGTGTGTGTGTGTACATGTGTATAGTGTATTTATGTATGTTTGTGTGTGTGTGTACATGTGTATAGTGTATTTATGTATGTTTGTGTGTGTGTGTACATGTGTATAGTGTATTTATGTATGTTTGTGTGTGTGTGTACATGTGTATAGTGTATTTATGTATGTTTGTGTGTGTGTGTACATGTGTATAGTGTATTTATGTATGTTTGTGTGTGTGTGTACATGTGTATAGTGTATTTATGTATGTTTGTGTGTGTGTGTACATGTGTATAGTGTATTTATGTATGTTTGTGTGTGTGTGTACATGTGTATAGTGTATTTATGTATGTTTGTGTGTGTGTGTACATGTGTATAGTGTATTTATGTATGTTTGTGTGTGTGTGTACATGTGTATAGTGTATTTATGTATGTTTGTGTGTGTGTGTACATGTGTATAGTGTATTTATGTATGTTTGTGTGTGTGTGTACATGTGTATAGTGTATTTATGTATGTTTGTGTGTGTGTGTACATGTGTATAGTGTATTTATGTATGTTTGTGTTTGTGTGTATATGAGTATAGTGTATTTATGGATGTTTGTGTGTGTGTGTACATGTGTATAGTGTATTTATGTATGTTTGTGTGTGTTTCTGTGTGTGTGTGTGTGTGTGTGTGTGTGTGTGTGTGTGTGTGTGTGTGTGTGTGTGTGTGTGTGTGTGTATATGTGTATGTGTATGTGTGTATGTGTGTGTGTGTTTGTGTGTGTGTGTACATGTGTATAGTGTATTTATGTATGTTTGTGTGTGTGTGTACATGTGTATAGTGTATTTATGTATGTTTGTGTGTGTGTGTACATGTGTATAGTGTATTTATGTATGTTTGTGTGTGTGTGTACATGTGTATAGTGTATTTATGTATGT